GGTACCTGCCAGTGACCGACCGCTTGAGACGTATCTTCCTAAACCCTAAAGAAGCCACACTCATGACATGGTGGGATGATGAGCGTAAGGTGGATGATGATAAGATTGCACACCCGGCTGATTGTAGTCAGTGGCAAAGGTTCAATGAGAAGCACAAAGAATTCAACGATGACCCAAGGAATGTACGGTTTGGCTTGAGCACCGATGGAATGAATCCCTTCAATGAGAGGATGAGTGACCACAACACTTGGCCAGTGATCTTGACCATGTACAACATCCCAACATGGTTGTGTCAGAAGAGAAAGTACCTTCTCCTCACTATTCTTATTTCTGGCCCTAAACAACCAGGTATTGATATAGACATGTTCCTCGAGCCTTTGATGCAAGAAATGGAGAGGCTATGGAGGCATAGGGAGCAGATGTACGATGCGTTCCGAAAGGAGGACTTTATATGTAGAGCAATAATATTTGTTACTACCAATGATTACCTCGCGGTGTTTGCTTTGTCTGGACAGATCAAAGGGAAGATGGGATGCTTGGTTTGCTTGGATGGTACTACATGGGTGTACCTGGATGCATCCAAGAAGATAGTTTACCTAAGGAACCGACGCTTCTTAAAGACAAGTCACAAGTACCGCAGAAATTATTCTTTAGATTTTATGACAACGCCCCAGAGATTGAACCTCCTCCGGAGAGACGTCGTAACAGAGAACACGTGTACAGAATGATGAAAAACATACGCGTCGTCTATGGAAAAGAAGAATCTGGATCAGACTAACAGAGATAGAAGCACACCTCCTGTCGAAGGCATACCTTTCAAGAAACAATCGATCTTCTTTCAGTATCTGCCTTATTGGCCAGACTTGGAGGTCCCCCATGCCATTGATGCTATGCACATGCAGAAGAATGTCTTTGAGAGTCTCATTGCTACCTTGATGGACACAGGCAAGTCAAAGGATGGTCTGAATGCATGGAAAGACATGGTGCAGCTAAACATGATGCCACAGCTTCACCCGGTACCTGAGGCTAATGAAAAATACACTCTGCCTGCGGCGTGCTTCAACCTAACACCAGACGAGAAAAGAGCTATATGCACTTTCCTGAGGGGGGTCAAAGTCCCGACTGGGTTTTCAACAAATATGAAGAATCTAGTGTCGATGAAGGACTTGTCAATAATACAGTGCAAGGCTCACGATTGCCATGTGATGCCGACAGTGTTTCTACCTATTGCAATCAGGGCTATAAAGCCAGAGTTCTTGAAAATGGCCATCACCCGCATGTGCTACTTCTTTTCGAAGATCTCACAGAAGACGATTGGCAAGCAAGAGCTGAGTGACCTACATGAATTTGTGGTGAAGACACAAAACCAACTAGAGATGTGTTTACCTCCTGCTTCTTTTTGATATAATGCCACATCTCATGATTCACATGGTTCATCAGATACAGGCGCTGGGCCCTTGCTACTTGCATGAAATGTGGTCCTACGAGCGGTTCATGTCGGTTCTAAGTCGATACGTGCATAATTGAGCATACCTAGAGGGCTCCATGATAGAGGGTTACAGTACTGAAAAAGTCGTTGAGTACTGTCAAGAGTACCTAAAAGTACAGAAAGGGATTAGTAAAGCCGATTCTCGTCATAAGGGTAGGCTGGATGGGAAGGGCACCAGTGGTAGAAAAGTGTTCATCGACCATGATTACAAAGAGGTGAGTCAGGCGCATTACAGTGTCTTGCAGAGTACACAACTGATGCAACCGTACATTGATGAACACTTGGCTATCATTATGGCGGAGAGAAATGGCCGTTCGAATGATTGGGTCATGAAACAACATAAGCAATGACTAACTACATGGTTGAAGGATCAAAACATACTGCCTGGAGAAACCATAGACTCTATTACCATCAGTAGGTTGGCGGAGGGGCCATCGAGACAAGTGACATATTAGAATGCTTATGACATCAATGGGTATACGTACTATACCCACGCAAAGGATAGTAAATATGTGAACCAAAACAGCAGCGTTCGAACAGAGGCTCTCGATGGATTGGGGTAAAAGATCCAATACTTTGGCATCATTGAAGAGATATGGTAACTTGACTATGGAAGAGATATAACGGTGGCCCTGTTTCGATGCCGCTGGATCAAACAACACCAACTGAACGAGATCGGATTGAGAGTCCTGGACCTCGAGAATCTAGGCTACCAAGATGACCCTTGGGTGCTCGCTTCACGTGTCGCACAAGTTTTCTATATGTCTGACCCACAAAGTAACCTCCCCCCGAAGAACAAGACAAAACACGTGGTTGCCTTCTAGAAACAGCACATTATTGGAGTTGATGGCGTGGACGATGTTGAAGCTTACAATAACTATGATGAGATGTCGCTATTCACAGACTTTCCTAAGAAGATCAGTGTTGTAGAAAAGAACCTCCCCAAAGACATATTGCCATGGAAACGAAAAGGTGTCAAGAAAAAAGTCATTACAACGGGATAGCTAGTTGTTGAATGTGGAGTGTTTGTGTAAGTGTGTGTTGTGTGTTTGTAAGACTTCATTTATGCATGCGTGTGAGACTATATATTTATGTACGTGTGTAAGACTACATATTTTTGTATGTGTGTGATACTACATTTATGCATGTGTGTGAGACTACCCTTTGCAACATTCAGATGACTCTATTTGAACATCCACTCTATTACTACTAAAACTTTATGACATCACTTAACACTTTATGAAATGAAGAAATGACCAAAATAAAAGTAGGAGATCTTGATGAGTTATACAACTTTTATATTCATCACCTTTACAGCTGAAATCATTTAGTGTTTGAAAATCAGGTTTGAAGCTGCCATTTTCTAAAATTTAAAATTTGAATTGTTCAAAATTAATGACAAAGATAGATGACTAGACTAAAATGATAGAGCATAATTTTATAAAAATTTTAGAAAAAAAACCATCACATTTGAGTTAGTATGAGGGAGAAAAACTAGTTACAAGTTTCAGCCATAGATTAAAAAGAGAAATCACACTTGTTCATCATTGATCATCATGAACAGTTGTGATTTTCCTTTTTAATCTCTAGGTAAAATTTGTAACTAGTCTTTCTCCCTCACACTAACTCCAAATGTGATGATTTTTTTCCTAAAATTTTCTAAAATCTTGCCCTATCAAGTTAGTGCCTTGATTTGATCATTCTTTTCGTTTGACAAAGTTTGAGCACTTCAAATTTTCAAATTTAAAAAAATGATAAGTTCGAACGAGATTTTCAACCATTAAATGATTTCAGCTAAAAAAGTGATGAATACCAAAGTTGTATAACTCATCAAGACCTACAACTTTTATTTTAATCGTTTCTTCATCTGACAAAGTGATAGTAAACATTGTTCACAAATCAACATGTTTCTCGTATAGTTCATGAAACTATGAGTCATATGTGAATTTATGAACAATGTTTACTAATACTTTATCACATGAAGAAGTGACCAAAATAAAAGTTGTAGATAGTGATGAGTTCAACAACTTTTATGTTCACGACTTTTATTGTTGAAATCATTTAAGGTTTTAAAATCTTGTTTGAAGTTGCCATTTATTGAAATTCAAAATTTTAACTGTTCAAATTTGGTCAAATAAAAATATGATCAAAATAAAAGTTGTAGATATTGATGAGTTCTACAACTTTGGTATTCAAGAGTTTTTCATGTGAAATCATTTACTCTTTTAAAATATTGTTTCAAGTTGAAATTGTTTGAATTTCAAAATTTGAATCGTTCAAATAAAGTCACATGACAAGATGACCAAAATAAAAGTTATACATGTTGATGAGTTATACAACTTTTATGTTTACAACATTTTCATTTTATTTCATTTAATGTCATAAAATTGTAGTCGAAGTTTTAAAATTTAAATTTTTAATTTTTTTTTTTTTTTTGTTTTCTATATTGTTTTCACTACAAATGTTTATATATATATTTCTTCATATATATAATAATACAAAATATTATATTTGTGCATATACACAATTTTTTTATTAGTTTGTGTTTTTATGATATAAAAAATACAAAATTAATTATTTAAAAAAATAGAAAATATTTGTAGGGGCGGTTGATCAGAAACCGCCCCTACAAATGCATTTGTAGGGGCGGCTGGATTAGGAACCTTGTAGGGCGGCTGGATCAGGAACCGCCCCTAGAAATCGCCCCGAGTATAAATACAAGGGCGCATGGGTGTTAGCCTGTTGGTCGCTCTCTTCTTCCTCCGACGCCGTTAGGCTGCCCCGCTGACGCCGCCTCCCGGACCTGTCCCGACGCGCGCGCCCCCTCACCGCACCCGCGCGCCTGCTCCCCGCCCTAGGGTTTCCGACCGGCCGGCGGCACTAGGGTTTCCGACCTTGAGGTGCCATGGCGCACCGGCCGCACAGCGCACCGCGCCCATCTCCACCAGCGCCCCCCTCCTCCCCCCTCAAGCCCCCCCCCCGGGAGTCCGCACCTCCACCGCGCGTGCCCCCTCCACCCACACCCCCCCCCTCCACCGGCGTCCGCGCCCCCTCCACCTGGCCTCCGCGCACCTCCACCGGCGTCCGCGCACCTCCACCGGCGTCCGCGCCCCCTCCACCCGCACCCGCGCCCCCTCCACCGATGTCCGCGCCCCATCCACCGGCCTCCGCGCACCTCCACCGGCGTCGATCAGCAAACATCGGCTTTCCCGGTCAGTCTATCTATCTTATCTCTGACAGTTACCATCAGGGAAGACCATCCGTGATGGTTTTAGGTACTTTCATTGACTACTTTGGCTGTCATGGAAAAATTTGGTTGACCATTGGATTCATCATGAATTATCTTTTCTTAGTATACATATTTGGTCTCATGAATATTGATAATCTTCTCTATAAACTTGGTCAAACTTAAGTTATTTTGACTAAGGACAAATCTAGAAGACTAGAACGATACTCTTTGGGACAGAGGGAGCATAAAAATAGAAAAGATAGGGCAAATCAAACAAAACAGTTATATTATAGGTGGACTCACTTCTTTGTTATTCAAAAGTTCTTGGTTTTGTATTCCTTTGGTAGGCTTGACCTTGGTATGAGTTAGACCATTTTGATATTGCCCGCAGACAAGAACGTCTGCATCTTCTAACATATTCGTTTTGTTATTTTCAGTTGTAGTTCCTAAATTGTGTCTTTCCTCCCTTGCTAGTTGCTGCAAACAACCATATTTCAGGAATCAGATAAGGTTACCAAACAAAAAATAATTTTGCAGGCACACTCACTTCTTTCTGGTCCAAACATTCTTGGTTCTGTAATCCTTTGGTAGACTTCGACATCCTCCGTACCAGTTGAGTTAATTTGATATTCACCACAAACACTCGTACCTGTATCTTCTGACATATTCCTTTTGTCACAGCTTGTAGATCTTGTCTTTCATCCATTGCTACTTGCTGCAAACAACCAAACATCATGATTTAGATAAGCTGTGGTCTCAACAAAATTATAGCAATTAGAGAAGGTGATGAAGGCATATATTCTGCAGCCATGCTCACCATGTCCACGTCCAAAATTTCCTGGTTTTTTATTTCCCATGCAGCATGAGTTTCATTAACATTGGCTAGATCAGAATTTAGTCCACTATCCAGCGTGTGGCTACCTTCCACTGTTGTTGCCTCCATGTTCTTGTGTATGATTCTGTTGTCCTGTTCCAGAGCCACTGCCTGCAAAAAAGCATGGTCAGATTAATTAACAGTTAACAGAAGTACAGACATCTGCAAGCACACCTCATGCATATTCAAAAAGATCTTGTGGTTAGATACTACCTCAATCTCCATAGCAGTTGCATCAGATGATGGTTCCCTCCGATTAATCAGATCAACATCCTGAACACATGGCTCCTCAATCCTGCCTTCATGAAAAACTTCCATCTTACCTTCTTTTAACTGTACAGTAGCTGAACTACATGGCATCTCAGCATTGATTAAATTATTTGAATCTTCTACCACATCCTTATCATTGGTTGAGTTATTTGAATCTTCTGCCACATCCTTATAAAACTCCTTTTCTTGTGCTTCAATGGTTTCTCCATGAATTTCCTCAGTACCTATCCTCTTAAGTCTCTCGCTTTGTCCATCCAACTGCTCGACTAGAGTAGTTTCATTATGGCTATTTATACCTGTCTCTATCAATGATTTTCTGTGTCCATCTTCTGTCTGTTTTAGTACAAAAGCATCACTAGTATTCGCCATGTCTTTCTCCATTAACACCTGGCAACCCTCTGCTTCTGCTTGTTTCAATTTATCAACCTCTTTGGACTGATCTACAACATTCTCTAATAGATCCTTGCTATCTAGTTCTTTCAAAGGTCAAAACGATTATGATATCAGAACGACAGCTCTACAATCCAATTAACATAATAAATCAAAAGCAAAAGAATAAACAGCTCAATACATATAAAGTTAGTTCTCACTGGAATATGTTGGGAAAAGAACTCTATTATATCTAAGCTGATCACTATGCAGTCATTTAGGTTCATCAGTCGAGATAGATACTGAAGTGTGCATAAAAAAGAAGAAAGTCAGTTCTTTCAAGGACATTGCTGATTGATGAAATTTTAACATACCAACAATTTTCCACTTTTGGGCCATTTCCAACAACTCATTGTCTGTCTGAGACTGATCAGTACTCAAGACACCAATAAGACTGGTATTCACATGTTCTGGGCTTATCAGCGACTCTTTTCTTCTCATCTATTACATGACCATAATATGTAAACATGGGCCTATCAGCGACTCTTTTCTTCCCATCCAGCTAGTTAAGCACTGCACCAGCCCCCTCATCTTGTCGTTGTCGGCCTCCTTGTGCAATTCTGTCTAGATCGGCATGGATTGGTAGTGGCATGAATAACTGCATCTAAATGAGTTCTGTGATTTTGAGCTTATTGTTTCTCATTGCACTGCGAATAAGAAGCATGCAAACTTTAGTACTATTAGTTCTTTATTGCTTTGGTATTTCTAGAAATTTTGGTTATCTTTTTAGGTTGCAAGTAGTTTTATTTATTTATTAGTTGATTTCACTTGCATGTGTGTTGATACTGCTAGCTGCTGGCTACTACTACTACTCTATTGAACTACTACTACTACCCCTACTCTACTGAACTACTACTACTCTACTTTGCTACTGCTAGCTACTCCTACTCCTACTAGCTGCTTGCTGTTCCTGCTGCTCTTCTCTCTACTCTAACTACTAAGTGCTGTTCCTGCTGCCCTTCTCTCATTTTTCTACTCTCTGCAAATTTAAAATGCCTGAGGTGGTGGCTGCTTGTTGTGCTTGCTTGCCCACTACTTACTGAATTTTTTGACTCTACTTAACTACTGTTGCTATTATGTCTCTACCTCACTCTGTTGACTCTACTTAACTACTGCTGCTGCTTACTAATTTTTTTTACTCTTCTCTCTCATTTTTTGACTCTGTACTATGTCTCTACCTCTTTTGCGGTCTTCTAACTCTACTCTACTGAACTACTACTACTCTACTTGCTACTGAACTACTACTACTCTACTTGCTACTGCTAGCTACTCCTACTACTACTAGTTGGCTGCTACTCTACTCTCTTCCCTAACTGCTGGCTAGTACTCTACTCACTTCCCTATACTACTAAGTGGCTGCTGCTCTATGTTTACCACATCTAAGTTACTAGATTTTAATCTGCAGGGGTCTTCCAACCATGTGGCAGCAGTCAACTCTTATCCTCTATGTTTGGGAAGCAACAGCTACTTTTTTTACACATTTTCCTCTCTATGTTTGTTAAGCAGCTTTTGCTTTTTTTTTGCCAAATCTCTCCTCTCCTCTCCTTTGTTTTGCCGATGATGAAATTATCTAAGTCCATACATTATATGGAATATGAGCTGATGATCAAAAACTTGTGAGGAACTTGACATCATTAGCAGCCGCCCCTATATTACCTTCTCCTCTCTTCTCTGTTATAATGCCTTGATGCTCCAAGTTCAAGATTAGATGACGATTGACATGTTTCTGAGGCCTCTACTACTGCTACTTTTTGTTTTTTTATATATTGTTGTTTTATAGGACTACTTTGGTTTATAGACATTTTTGATTTCTTATACCTTCTCATGTACCTAAAGCACACTTTCTTGCATCTATTAGAACAAAGCGTGAAATAATATCGTGGACACCAGACAGTGCAGCCCGATGTCCCGAGCATGATGAGCAGCCAACCTATGAGGAGCAAGCACTAGAGGACCAGCTTACTCAGGAACAGTTCGATAACGAGGTAGAAAAGGATCTAGAAGTGATGCTTACTCAGGAGTAGTGTGATGAGGAGGAAGGGGGAGCAGAAGGAAGAGCAGGAGAGGCTGCTGAAGGCGAAGAAGTTGATGATGATGATGAGAAGGACTCAGAAGAGGGATATGTAAGTCCCAAGGATCCTTTCCCACGTGAAGCCAGAAGGAGGCCAACGGAGGAAGATTTGGACAAGGATTTTGACCCAAACGAGGAGGTAGGGAAAAAGCCTTAGCTTGTAAATTTTGCTAAAGCTTTGGCTGTGTTACATCTGCTAACACTTTGACCTATCGTATATACAGGTCCCTCCTGAAACTCAGAAAAGACGACGTTGACGTCCACGACATCTCGCTGGACAAGACAGAGTAGAGGAAAGCAGAGCAGAGGTAACAGCCACAGAGACGGATAATGATGCCTGTGCTCCACAACCTCAAGACACAACCACGACTACCAAGCCTAAGAGGAAACGAGGGGATAGAAAAGGAAATATATATCCAGATAAGGCATGCTATATGATAACGGAGGTCGGGCCAGCAGGGGAGATCCTTGAGCCGAAGGAATTAAGATGATGATTCTGTAATGCGATCAGGGCCCTAGTAAGAGATAAATTGAACCCAGCAATCCCTAACTGGAAAGAGGTACCAGAGAACACAAAGAATGCACTATGGGATAGGCAGCTGAAGCTCAATTTTAGATTTCCAGAGGGTAAGCACGAATTGGTAAAAAAAATGCTTTTAGGATGATGGGAGAGTCATTCCGACATTGGAGGTTGGAGCTCAACACGAAGTATATCCAAAAGAGGTTAACTCCCTTCAACGAGTTCGGCAAAATAACTCCTAGTCAATGGGAGGAGCTCGTGGCTCAAAAGACTTCACCGGAGGCATTCGAGCTCAGTGCCCGTAACACCGAGCTGGCGAAGAGGAACAAACATCACCATCATCTAGGCCCCGGTGGCTACTATGCCAAGGAAGAGCAGTTTAGGAAGATGGACGAAGAGGCCGCAGCTGCTGGGAATATCGATGTGACAAATTTGAAGGTACGCTCAAGGAATTGGATATATACGAGGAGTACAGAATCATACGGTGGTAATCTTAAGTTTGATAAGCCGGAGACCCAAGAGGCAGTATCAAGGATACTGAAATATGCTGAAGACAAGGAGAAGGGCTCATTCAATCCTTCCAGAGAGAGGGACGAGCTTAGCCTTGGCTTGGGAAACAAGGAGCACACATGCCGCACAAGGGGGCTAGGGAAAAGGATGACCTAGAAGCAAGGATTCAAAGAGGACAGGCACATGTATAAGAAACATGGCAGAGACCGGGAGACTAATCTTGAGCTCCAAGTAAAGTCTCTAGTTGTGAAGGCGCTGGAGGAGCAAGGACTATCTATGGAGCCACGGATATTAGTGACGCCACCGGGAGAACTGGCATTAGTTGGCAGCCCTCCGAAAGTTCCTAGCAGCCAAGGTTCCACTGCAGCCACAACCCCATCTATCGCATATGGGAACCAACTAGTTGCACCTTGGTGTTTCTCAGCGGCCGGCGGAACACTGTGATGGAGGTGGCAACGGGTGTGGCACATCCTCCCGGTGGCTTACACCACAATAATAAGATACCGCCGGACTACACTAGAGTTGAGGTGCGTACCGTGAAGACCGAGTTCATATAGTGGAGGATAGACTATGCAACTCCCAAGGGGCTGGTGTTATTTGGAGACGTTATGGGGCAGTTCATCCTCTGGCACAAACGGGACATTATATTGATTGCTTCTTCGCCGCCTCCCCCTCTCCCAAATTTGGAGCAAGTTGTTGAGGTCAGGGAGATATTTTCACCATCTCGTGACCACCACATTCCTAAGATGCCACATTCTTCCCCGCCTCTAAGCGAGCGTGTGCCTGATGAGATGCCACAACCTTCTCCAGCTCGTACCGAGCAAGTGCATGATGAGATGCCACAGTATTCTCAACAAGCACAACCGATACATGAACAACGAGTGCCTCCTGAAGAAGGTGATGCACAAGAAGATGAGGACGTGCCTGAATGGGAACTTCAAAAGAAGCATCCAATCACCATATGGCCAGTTTATGTTCCGATGAAAGACGTCTCATCGGTGTCCAAGTGTTATTCCCATGACCAGTTCAAGCCTGAGAACCAAGTTAAAAAAGTCCCATCACAGGGTTCTGAGGAGGCTGTCACTAGCAAACTCCACCAAATTGCAAAGCAGTATCCAAATGTTGATGACATCAAATGGTCAAAGGATTGCCCGAAAACATATGAAAGAGGCAAGCCCTTCCTACCAAACCGGGACATCCAGCGCCTACCACTTGGAATGAGAAGGTTCCATGATTGGTACTTGCGTGTTCTCCCAACGAGCATAGACCTCATACAAGCATGCTTCCCCACCGGCACATTTGGAAGCCCAGCCGAGAAAATTGTCTTTGACTTCAATGACATGCACACATGCTTTCACCTGGGAGAAATGGAGATGAATCTAATTTGCACGTGGTGCTTGTAAGTCCTTGTCCTCCCGATATGATATGAATGTAATCTTTGAATTTTGTTGTAACTAACCCACGCCGTGATTTGTAGAATGCAAGTGCACATTGTCAAACAAATGTCAAGTGTGAAAGCCGGGTATCTAGACCCTCAAGCTATAGCCCAAACAAATTTTAATTACCCTAAACAGTGGAAACTGGATGCCAAAGAGCTAGCTGCTGCAAAGACTCTTTTGGAGAAAGAGTAGATTCGTACGGCAAAACTAAGGGAAGAGTCCCTTAAGGTTGCGGCATATATTGCCCTGGCTTTGAAAACTCTCCAACAACACTCTACTATATGGCTACCATACAACTTCGAGTAAGTTCAACTTTATACTTAAAGCTTTGTTCGATATATTTTATTCGATGCAAAAGAGTTTATCTAGTTCTATGATTAAATCCATGTAGCAACCACTGGATTTGTATAGCCGTCGATGTCGGGAGGAGCATGGCATGTGTCTTTGATTCAATAGATAGAGACCCGGTGACATACAAAGACTTCATATCGATTCTCAAGACGTATACATATCGATAATCCTCATTAGCTTATATGTGTGTATACATACTTGTAACATTCACTTTTGGATACTAACAAGTTGTATTTGCTAAAATAATTCGAATAGGACATTTAGGTTCTATGTCACTAATCATCATGGAAGGCATGATCCAGCAAGGAAGGAAAAGCTAGCTATAAAAACACTATGTATGGTAAGTGTAACTTACTTCTTCAGTACTCCATTACATAGCTGTCAAAAGCATTATTTAACATTTTCATATGCAAAACACACAGTGCCCCAAGCAGAAGCCTAGAAGTGT